CCTGTTCCTGATGCCGGCTCTTTTACCTCGAGGCCATCGCTTAGGGTCGCGTCCTTTGTTCTCTCTCAGGATCTCCTTTGGCCAGGTTGGGTCCGGAGTTAAACATGGTGAAATGTTCGTGTATTGCAGACCAATAGAAACCAAAGTGTCTCTACTGTAGCGGATTTGTGTGTTTTGCATGATGCCCATGCAAGATTATCGCAGATATAGCAAAAAGTGACGAAAAACTGCAAAAAGTGGAGAAGTTGGGGCAGAGCATCCAGCACGGCAGCCGACCTCACCGGCGCCATTTTAAAACGACAGCCCTGCTAGTATGGAGGAACTACACATGAGCAAACAAGCCTGGGGCAACAGAAAAAGCCACTCATACAGGATGTTTCCACACAGTGGAATTCAACACTGGATATGGTTTCACATCTACTAAAGAATCAAGAGGCTGTTTTTGCTGTGCTAGACAAACAAAAGCACAAGCTAGTCATTTTAACTCCATCAGAGCTGGTAAAACTCCAAAGCTGGCAACTGTCCTTGAGCCATGCAGGTAAATAAAACTATTTTTTAACTTATTGTTACTGTTTCTTCAAAAAGCTTTATAGTTTAGTTATTGTGTAGGTTAATAATTACTTTCTTGAACAGTCTACTACAGGTTTGTGACTGAGCTTCGTGGAGGTGAAACATATGTCTCATGTTCAGTGGTTTTACCTGCTTTCTGCCTCCTGCATCACACCATGGAGGTCTCTGATGATGACTCAAACTACATGGTGAAATTTAAGATTGCCTTCACAAAGGACCTATCCCAACGTGTAGCTACACTCAACCATCAGTTGTTCAAGATAGCTACTGTGCTTGATACACACTTTAAGGATTTGTGTCTTGCAAGGGGAGAGTGAGAAGAGGTTTGGACCAGCCTTGAGGCCCTGCTGCAGGAACAGTGTAAAGATGCCACCACAAAGGAGCCAGCAAAGACAAAGAGCCTCTTCTCTTAAATAATTTCCCCCAGGGATCAATAAAGTATTCTGATTCTGATTCTCTTCATTGTCCTCGGACCCTGGTTCAGATGATGAAGCCCTGCGTAACAGGGTCGAGCAGGGACACACCAGCAACTGTCTGTCCTGGCCTGCAAGTATTTGATGAGTCCTGCCACTTCTATCTATGCGAACAGGCTAGTTTGTCTAAGTAACTGGCTGAAAGAGACGGCCAATAAATAAGCATGCAGGTATTGTGAGTCCAATGGGTTTGTTATTTTTTGCACTAAAACGTTCGATGATCACATTGTTTTAGCCTAATGTACAAAATACTTTTTGGCTAAGGGTACTCAGAGTTTAAAGGTGAACCTGGTCAAATAAACGTTTATGTTTCTGCCTTAGTCTTTTAAAGAAGAAAAACTGCACTTTATGATGACATTTTTATTATTATTATTTAAAGACAATGCCATTTTGAAAATGTACTTAACCTCCTAAGACCCGAACTCTTCCACGGCATGCATTTTTAATTTCTTTTTGATATTTGGGCTGATTGGGGCTTGATGAATGTAAAAAAAAAAAGAATTACCAGATTTTTTTTTTTGGCTTTTTTTTTTTTTTAAGAAAAATAAGAGCCACATATGAGGATATTCATTTAAAATTTTGATAAAACAGTACCAGCATAGTGTCCTCGTAAGTGGATATCAGGCCCAAATTGAGTATTTTGGTCTAAATAACCCAAAATGCGATGTCCACATATGTGGACGCCAGGTCCTAGGAGGTTAAGGTACTTAAAATAGGACTTTATTTTTAAGTCTGCCCAATTTTGGCCAGGGATATTATTTTTGTTTCTCTGTTTTGAATTGAAATGCAGTTTAAATGCTTTTTATTTAGTTTCTCCCCAGAAATTAAAAGAGCTTGAGTTTACTATATTCATGTCCATGACTATTATTTATTCTGTCGCATACTAAAACCCTTTTAAATTAAAAAAAAATATTTTTGATTTTAATTTAATTAGATTTTAGAGATTACTTATTTACAACGCCTCTTATTAATTACATAAAAAATTTAATCGAGTTTTTACTTTTTAAGTAATGTCTGAAGTTTTTTTTTTTTTCAAAAGTGATATAATCTAATCAGCCATATGCTGATGATAGTATTGCAACCATGACTTTGACTTCAACATGAAGGGAATGAAAAAAAGAAAAAAAGGATTGTTGAGTGAGGGAGCAGGAACATAGGAAAATATTACTTTATAATTTGTAAGCGTTTCTCTGTGGCCTCAAACTGCAGCACATGAAAAACGAACTCTGTTGAATTATTATTTAGGAAACTGACCTTCCAGTGCATTTAATAAAAGGTAGCCATTGGAAAATGACTAAATTGATCAACAAAATGCAAAGAAACAAGCAACATGACTTCATACAGTAAGAAGGCCCAGTGACTCATGACAGCATCCACTCTGCCAGTCTCAGTTTGAGTGTGCCAGTGAGGAAATACTCACTGGAATCATAAACAATATAAAGGATGGACCTAGCTTCTAGGTCTGAAAAGTAAAGGAAATGCAGAAATGCTTTAAGCTTGCATTCTTTTTAAAGGCCACCAGGCACAAAAAAAAAACGACTTCCTGTCCTATAAAAGTCCAAGGAACCATCAGCCCTGACCTCTGTAAACACTTTCTTACAACTTTACGGTCTGACTCATTCATTTCGAGTCAAACTGATTAAAACATGATTCATTTTTAAAACTTTGGTCATTCTAAGAATCAGAGAAAAGAGGATTTCATCATCCACACTCCCTGTCTTTCTTTCTGCTTATTCAGAATCAGTTAGATCCTCTTTCCTCTACTTATTTAAACCTCCCTTGTATTTAACCTTTTGCTTGTTTCCAAAATCTGCCTTTTCCCAGAATTGGTCAGACACTATCTAAGTGTCAGTGTAAGTGTCAGCTTCTCTCACTCAACCTCAGAGTGGAAACAAGTTTTAGATTTTCTTGAACTTTCTGTGCATTATTGAGCAATTCTTTGATAAGCTGGAAAACCAAAAGAACACATTTACTAAGCAGGACAGTCAAACCATTAAACCTCTTGCTTTCAGGTAACATTTCATCACCTCAGTCTCAACAATATTACATTTTCTTAGATTTCAGATCTCGGTTTTACAATACTGCCCTCCTGTGGTAGAAGTTATAGTACAGGTTTGCAGAGGGTAATTACAAAAATGACCTTTTATATTCAAAGTCGAACCGTTTTTAGCCCGTGTTAACCAGCTAAACTTCAACAAAATATTCATTTATATTTCTCAGATATGTAAGCATTCATCATATTATATTTTATATTTTCGTGAGTGGTTTCATCTGTCTCTCGGTTTAGACAAGCTGTTCAGTCACTGTAGCTCTGGTGTCCCTACATTAACAACAACTGAACTAGTTCTTTGTGTGAATCTGCACAGTGAAATTCCTCAGCCCTCATTTCTCACTTTGGAATGAGCGTGAAGCTGTGATTTTTGCAGCTCACAGGTTCTGTGCAGTAATCCAATAATCAATGCCTTCACAGCTGTGGTGTCGCTGTAGATGCCATTACAGACGACCTTTGTAGTCTGATTACGCCATGTGACACATTATAGTTGATGATGTAGAAATATTATGCAACAGCTTTCATTCACTCTCTCATGACTTTTTGTTGGCACTCTGAAGATTGTGTCAACAGTCCAGTGTCACAGCTCAGTGGTACTTTAATGTAATACCAACTTGTAATACAATACATTTACACAAGCAGCACATTTTCTTTGGAAGAACTGCATATTATAAATGGATAATAAGGTTTTTTTTGGTGGTTGGAGGGTAGGTTATGGCTCATTCACATGAAACTAAGCAGACAAGACAAGACAACAAGGATAATCAGGCCTCATTAATGCAATATAACAAGAGAATTTTCAGTTTGGTAATCTGCTTTTATTTTTTAATTTATGGAAGGTAAACAAAAGTAATATACTGCCAAGGATTCACTGACTCTGCTACTACTGCTACTAACACAAAACCAAGCAGAAATCTGAGCTAATATGGATGTACCACAAACTGCAGTTCCTCTGATGTCCACTAGAGGCTTCAAAAAGAAAAACTGTTAAAATATGAACCTTTGCAGCTTTAGAGCAGAAATAAAGATCTTACAACCTGTTATAAAGAACGATTTTGGTCCCTGTAGCTCATTTTTTCCCTTATAAGAACTGTACAACAACCCACCAGTCCAAATGTTCTTAAGGATTATATTAAGTTTACAATTTTAGAGGTGCAGCCTCTTTGACTGAGAGGTGGATGTGACAAAGGTGACTGTAGCTGCTAGGCTTCACCTTACTTAATTGAAATCCTAGAACTGGACCACTTTGTCTTATTCAACAAATAATAAGGCAAAATTTATCTTTATTTGGATTTTACTCAGCACCAGTTAACAGGTATCTTTGTCTGTGTGATGTAGCCATATGGTTACACTCCACACACCATCTAATTTTGGTTACTTTGGGCTCCTAAAGCCCAACATGACAACAGCCATAAAGGCTTGATTGTTCATCTTTCATATACAAAAGTAAAGCTAATGTTTTAGTACGTAAGAGTGTATTATTTTTAATGGGGAGAGACCCCAAGTTTTTTTTTTTAAAGTCTGATTGTATTGAAGTCACTTGATTTATGACCTCAGTATCACTTTCCTAATGAGTTTATAATTGAATGTCCCACTTAGAGGATAAAAGGACTACTGGAGTTGTTTGAGAATGTAGTATTTTCCATTTATCAGTCAGCTCAAACCCTCTTTTTTTATGATCTCTACTTTCAAAAACATAAACTTATGACAGGTAAAATTCATGTGTCCACGACCTAAATGGGCTCCTCTCAAAACACCCACAACTACTCCATGGTAACTGTTAGTATATGTGGTAGTGACACCTTTCAGCTTATTTTGCTAACTGCTTCCACTTCACTACAAAGCAGGTGGCTTTGTGTGAAGCCGCCATGTGTAAGTGGCTGCACTGTTTCCTGACAGCTACTCACTGCGGGTGGGTCATCGATGGTGTTCTGGATGGCTGCAGCCAATCCCTCCTTCATCATGCAGGTCAGGCTGTAGAACTCATGCTGTTGGTCAATCTCAAACAGGCCCAGAAGTTTCCACTGCTGCCTCAGACCTCCCCACCGCCTTCTCTTCATGGAGCGCTGCTGGTGACTCAACATCCCTGGACCGGCTGTCGACATCTCCATCTGAGATAGAGAAAAACAGCCCGATGAGGAAAAAATGTGACTGCTCCACTGTGGACGCAGAGGAGAAAAGAAATCAGAGTGTGAGTGGAGGCCAGAGAGGCCAGCGACTAACACAAAAGACAGCTGACTGTCAGTTGAGTCTTTAACAGAGTAACCATGGAAACCAACACAAAGGGATAAAAGCTTCATGGGCTGTGCTGTGGATAATGCCATAATGCTGCTCCTCTGAATGCCACAGAAAAACATTTTAATTGCGTGGTCATGTCATGTGTTTTACAGTAAATGTTTGACCCTGTGAGCTCTACACACCCGAGCCACTCAGTACTAAGCCAGAGAAACAAAAAGACTCCTATGGAATAAATAGTAACTGATAGTTTTTGATGGTGAATGATGCGTTCATCAGCGTTTAGGCATAAAAAGCACTTGTATAAATGTGTGACTGAGTGAATGAGGTACTTGTAGCAAGAAAGACCGTTGAGAGTAGAAAAAACTACCTTATCCTGCTGGAAACAACTGCCAAAAGATAGGTAGAAAGGTTGACTGGTGGACATGGTCAGCAGCAGCTTTTTTGATAGAGGCAGGATGGCTCCGCCCTTTCTTGTTGTTGTTTCCACCAAATTTTGACCCTACTATCCAAATGTCACAGCACAAACTGAGAAGTTCTTCCAGGCTTTAGTTGTCCAGTTTGATAAGCATAATGGGAATTGTAGTCCTAGTTTCCTGTTTTTAGCTAAACGAAATGGTGCATTGGGTGGTCTTCTCCTGCCCATCTGCAGTGCTACTTTGCTTTCAGAGAAGCTCTTCTGCATGCTGTGTGGCCATTCTCAGCTGATCTCTAACATCAACAAGGCTTTCTATTTTTCTTTCTGACCATTTTCTGTAACCCTAGAGATCTCAGCTGTTTCTGAAATACTCAGACCAGCTGACCAACAATATCCAAAAACCTTTAAATCACATTTCTTCCCCATTCTGATGCTCAATTTGAACGTCAGCAGCTCATCTTCACCATTTTTTATATGATGAGTTGCTGCCATGTGATTGACTGATAATACATCTGCATTAACATTCAGCTGAACAGGTGTATCTAATAAAGTGACTCATGAATGAAAATAGACACTAAAACCACTTGGTTTTATTTTATGAAGATGGTGGTTTGGGTTATAATTCACTCCTGGAAAACTTCATATCTGCTCAGTGACCAATGAAGCACAGTGGGTCCTGATGATGTGATTACATGTGAGGAGGTGTCAGTCTGAGCAGTCTCAGTGTTGCAAAGAAACTAAAGAAACAAATAAAAAAAATACTTGTATTTGGCTTCAAATAAACAGAGTCACTTCATCAGTAATAAAACCTTCATTTTAGAAACAACATTAAGATCTGTTATTACAGAGTCTTTATCCTGCAATTTAAACCCATCTGAGATTACCATTTTTATCAGCTGGTGCTTTATAAGGAAAACAGTGACTCAGCACTCACGTCACAGCGTTACCTTCCTTTTGTAAATTAGCCTGCCATGCCATTGGACGCGTCCATAGCAACATGCATGACGCTGCGCTCCTTGGACCTTTTGAGCTCCTCTCTCTGTTCTTCACTTTGACTGAGAAACAAAAGCTTCCTGTCTGATCACAGCCTCTCCTGATGCTGTTTGATGGTCTGAGTGTTCGGCTTCAGCACGTCTTTAACAATGGTGACAAACTGTAATAACCATTGTTAATAACTGGTAAAAAAAATAAAATAAATTGCAGTAAATTATATTTAATAATGTTTAATAACTGGCACATAATTGATTAGTAGAACATCATCTGGCAAAGTTGCAACTGATGTTTATAGAACGTTGCAAATCTATTCATCATTCAACCTTACTTGGCTCTTATAATGCTGAAACTGACATATAACTATTTCACAGGGTGTAAAAATGGACAGGTGTCCTGCTTCATTAAGTTTCCTGTTTTTTGGGTTTTTTTGCTTTAACTTTCTGTAAACAAATACATAATAAAGTACAGTGACAGGACAGGCCTGCTGGAGTCCAACGCCCACCCTCAACGAATCAGATTTACTGCTGGCAGTGCAAACCAGGCTCTAACTACAGGGACCAGATGACCCATAACAATGGGCCTGATACCCAGTACACTCAAAGCGCCCCCTACACTAATCTTTTTGTCACTTTTTATGGAATCAAACTCAAAGTAATGTCTGACCTTCCACGCTTTAAACACTGCATGGTTGCACTCTCTCCAGCACTCCATTTGTCCGTTGTTGATCTACACACATCTGTTGTTGCCATGGATGTTGCACACTCGTATGTCATTGTCATGAGACACTCTCACAAACAAAATCACGACTTAATAACGTAGTAACGGCGCCTGCTTAGGGGAAACTAACAGTAATGTAATTACTTTTTTGCTTTAGTAATCCCTTACTTTACTCATTACTTGAAAAAAGTAATCGGATTACACATTACTGCCCATGTCTGTTAGTCACCCAGGTATGTTAACAGCTGTATTCTACAAATAAGTTTAGAACGTATCTTTAATCTGTTTAAGAGGACAACGACGTCTTGTGATTTTACTTGCGGACAATCTGCCGCTCTTATTTTGAAACCTTATCGAGGCTCATCGAGGCTGCAGAACAGCAGCACGAGACACAGGTCTTGTTCACAGTCCAGGGAAGGATTGAGTGGAAGAGGGACTGATTGATGCAGCATCTGCCGAACCCGTTCTGCTGTGGTGGAGAGCTGAGCGTTGAAGCAAAGCTTTAGATTTACTGGTTGATCTACATTCCACATCTGTGCTGTGGGTACAGACTGAAAGCATGAGGGTGAGGTACGTGTGCTAGACATGAGCCTCCCCTGAAGGCAGGATGGGCTCAGCTTCAGAGATAAGACTAGAGCAGTTCCTCTTCCACATCAAAACGCAAGACTTAAGGTGGTTTGATCAGGGTGCCTTCTAAGTGTCTTGGTATGAGTCCTCAGGCCCGACCCAGGACATGCTGGAGAGACTTTGTCTGTTGGGTAGACTGGGTTTTCTAACATTAAAAAAAGTATTTAGCGCATCACGTGGAGAACTGGTTTATGTGTTGAGCTCATTAAAGCTGCAGAGCTGGTAGAGCTGGTCTCTATCTCTTGGGAGATAAATCACGGGCGATCCATTTTTTTTGAGCAACTTCTGGAAGTTAAAGCACAATAATTACTGGCAGCTGGATGTGCCGGCAATAAACTGGTACTTTACATTCGACCTCCTGAAATCTAACCTTTATACCTTTACTTAACTGTAACTGAAACAGTGCTGTATTCAATTAATTAAAAGAACCATTAACTAAGTTTCAGTCTTGATTACAGCAAGACTGGAAGCCTTCAAACATCCATTACAATCAAGTGTAAACTCTAAATAACTGATAAGCCACCACAAACCCCCCAAACTGATGAACTGTATAACCCAGGTAAAGTCTCCCAAGGCAAACTGGTCCGAGGAGATTAATTAGACCTAGAGCGATTTCAAAAACTCCAGTGAAGCCTAAAACTTGGATCTGGATAAACTTGTAGGAAGTGTGAATCTACACCCAAGAGGAAAGCTAGTAGAGAGGGAGTGCATTATTTGATTTACGAGGCAGGTGGCTGGAAGTCTTTTCTTTTGTTTCTTAACCTTTTCCTTGCTTTGGAGCCTCAGGCGGAGATGCAGTGATGGCTTCTGTCTCCTGCTCCACCCCCTGCCTGGAATTTCTCCATTGAAACAGTCCTTCCAACACCTGCCCTCTATCTGGTAATCAAGTGTAGAGTACAGCAGTTCTCTGCACCATTATATGGTGAGAATTAGGCCACCTCTGTTACCTGCCGCTTTTGTGGTAACGCAGTGTGCTTTCACGTCTCCAAGCTAGCTGCTCCAAACTTCCACAGAAGGAGAAGGTTCATCTGCAAACTTGCTTATCTGGAAACTTGTCTACCTGTTGCTTGAAGAAATTTATAGCTGTACTTACCAGCTCTGAACCCAATTACCTGTAACATGTCACAGGAAAGACTTACCTGCTCTCTTGCCTTTCTGCCAACTCTCTGATGCTTGCCAGCTGTCGGCACACCACATCCAACTCATGTAAGACTGTTAAACACCCGCTGGCTTTCTCATGTGAATTCAGTAGCACAGCAGCTGATGTGCACACCAGCCTGCCATAAATTATTATTAGATCGTGCTAGGACTTGCTCCGTACATTGGCGGCTGCTGTTTGTGACAAACATGGGTTCCAGTGGAATTCATAGCAGCTTTCCCTTCAAGAGAGTTTCACTTTCACCAATGAAAATAAAAGTGTGTCAAAGCAATGCAAGTGAGCAAAACATCAGCAATATGATAACAATAGAAAGGATAAAACCCAGAATTGCCAATTGCCAATTACAGGCCAAAAAAAATATAAAACAAATGAAAGGAATTAAATATTAAATAAAATAATAATGTTACAGACAGAGATTGGATATGGCAAACATACTGCCCTTTTTATAAACCCAAGTATAGAAAAGATTTTAACCGTCAGATCATTTTTTTTGACCCCAGCTGTTGTTATTTTTATGTACCATAAAACATTTATGGTACATAGAATCTTTTTCAATAAAAAAAATACTAACTAATACACGTTTTGGTGATTTTTGAAGTCCACCCATTCCAGGCTTCCAGGCCCATTGCTGTGGTAAAGATGATAGGTGGAAGGTTGTGTGGGAACCCAGGAAACAAATAAAAAAATGTAACACTAGCATAGGATTTGAGTCAGTTGTAATTTCCCTGGTCTTGTGATGTTTTGCAGAGTAATGCACAGCATGACAATGAAAAAAGCTAAACTGATGGAGATGAGTCAGGATGTAAAAATGTGTGAAAACCATCATTATCAATAGGGCTGGGCTATATCATGCCGTTCACGGTAATACCGGTGTAATGTTGGGCAATGATAAGAAAATGAAATATCGCGATAGAATATGGGTAAAACGCACATGCGCAGTGCTTTTGTTTACATGCGCACTTGGCTACGACGCAGAATGAGACGAGCGAAAGTGGATCGTTGAATGAAACGGATGAACCAGAATTGGTTTGTAAAAATGCTGCAACTTCAGTGGTGTGGAACTGGTTTAGCTTTCGTCCGTCAGATACACAACAAAGCACTATTTTTGGTACAGCATGCTAGCGGGCCGTCGTTATTGCCGTATTGTTTGGAAAATACGGCACACTTAAAATAAATCCTTTGATTTTTCTGAAAATCGACAGTGCCCCTTATAATCCCGTGTGCCTTATGTATGAATTCTGGTTGTGTTTACTGACCTCGAAACGATTTTATGTACACGGCGCTGGAAAATCTGTCAAATGTTTCAGTACGACTTTGCTAAGCTACAAAGCCGCACCGCTTGATGGATTGTTGAAGCATTACTGCTATCGTAGGCAGGAGCCTCGCGGAGGGATACGTACTGTGCTTCAATATAATATTACCGTATTGCGTTTGTATAACCTCTTTTTAAGTTTTGTGGATATTATACATGGTTATGCTGAGGATATGTCGGCCAGTTTCCACTGAAAATGCCTTTTGGTTAAACTGTCAGCAAGGAATTTACATTTGCACTGTTAACTTTTTATATAACTTTAATGCACTTAAAAAGCTGCTTGTGTAAGTGAAAATACATTGATGGGGGTGTTTTTTTGCACCAATAAAGTAGAGGAGTTGTAAAGTATTTTGTCTAGTGTCAATTATATCGTCAGTTATATCGTTATCGCAAATTTTCAAATGTATATCGTGATAAATATTTTTGGTCATATCGCCCTGCTCTAATTATCAACATTAAAATGTTTTGATTATCTTTCATATGAACAGTGTAAGTATGCAGTGTTACTGATCAGGCCAAGATTTTAGTGGATATTTTAAGATTTCTTTGGTGCAACAACAAGAATAAACCCATCATAATAGATGCCTACCTGCCGACTAATACACTCACTGAACTCTGATTTGCATTTTTTTCTACCCTCTTGTCAGTCCAAACTGGTCAGGTGCATTTACCACAGAGTTTGCTTATTAGCACAGAATCATGTCCCACTGCTAAGACAGGTGAGTCAAATACGTGGCCCTAGGGCCTGAACTCGCTCACTGAAAGACCCAATCCACCCCACTGGATGGCTTTAAAAAGTCTAAAACCTGCAGAGAAGCAGGGCACAGCTTAGTTTAGCTTTTCCCTGTTTTCCTGTGTGAATTCTTGTGTTGCAGGGTTTTAAACTCCTAACATCTACCATGACACTGGCAATGATCAAGGATTAGGGTTTTGGTACAGTTAGCGTCTAACCTTTCTTCCAACCCTTCTAATAAATAATTAGTCTATTAAAAAAAGTTTTATTTATTTTTGCAGAAAATCTGTGACGCCAATATGAGAGGGAACATCTTCCAGTTATGAAAGCGTGCCTAGTTAACATGTGGCCAAAATAAAGCACAACCCTGTTAAGTGCCATGGTTTGTGTGCAGGGAGGCATGAAAGGTCCCAAAATTCAGACTCAAATGCAGAGGCCAAGCTGAAACTCAAAATGTTAGCTTTATTGCTGAACACTGGGGAAAAACTAAATTAAACTTGGCAGGCTTGGCAAACAGAACACACAGACATACTGTATATGAGGGAGATCGTGACACTGATGAAGAGAAACACGGGGCTACACTGAGGGATAACAAGGGGAATGAGACACAGGAGGAGAGCACAGCTGAGAGTAATTAGGCAGGACGAGACAAGGGAAGCAAAACTAGAAATATTAACATAAGATGCAGACTGTCAAAGTAAAACAGGAAATATAATACAGACGCGGACTTGACAAGGGGTTACAGCGCAAACATGGAACACAGAGAGAAACCAATAGACTAAGAACTCTAAATAACACAAAAGAGAAGATTATTAATAATAAACAACACAAAACACTGGGTCACAGACCCAGTCATCCAGGACCATGACATTAAGAACTTAACTTCATTCAAACCAAAGACCGAAACAACAACCTTCACACTGATGCCCATAATCCTGCGTGCACATTATCTTACATTTGTTGATTTATGCAATTTTCAGAATACAATCCCAACCCCAGTAAATCCGGCCATGGATTGATTAGCTGACTAATGTGATGGGGAAGTAACCGCTCACTAATGTCATGATGGAAGCCATTAACGCGGTCAATGCATGGTCAACATTTATGGCACTCAATGGCCACAGAGGCATCTTTGCAGTCAAAAGCAGTCACAGTGTGATGGTGAAACTTCCAAACAAACAGAAGTTGATGCTGTTTTTATGGACAGCAAAGTTGCAACAACTGATTTGGTCACTATACGGCTGTGAGCAGACAGCCAACTCAAAATGAATTGAGGACATTTCATCTTTAAATGAGAATCTGATGATTGTAACAAAAACAAAGCTGACAGTGTCTAATAACTGCACACAGCAGCCCGGGGAGGTGACTACACATCAGCAGCTTGGGTGAAACCCCTCACACAGTTGATCTCTAGCAGTGACTGCACGCATTATGGAAGCAATCAGATTCAAAGCGTTTCACTTGCCTCTGTACAGCAGCTGATGGTCGGCCTGTCCGTGTCTCTCCCAGTGTGTGTCACTCACTGAGTGCATGTGTGTCACATGTCAGCCTGCAGAATGACCGTGTGATGTCATCGGAGCATAGCCCGGCTCACCCAGCGGTCACACCCACACTGGCACTGACTGTCTGAGGCAGACACGACTGCCGGCAGCTGCAGCTCTGATACTGCAGTCAATATGAGGCAAGCAGAGGTGCAGAAATAAAAGGTTTGTTGGCAAAGTGGGAATGCAACTGCAGCGCAAACTCTGCTGACTCACTGCTGGAGGTTTTCCAGCCAACTGGACTCGAGTCTCCATCCATCTGAAAACACACCCAACACTCCAGAGACAAGAAACCCCAACTCCTCTCAGACGATATACAAACATATACAATACCTTCAACGTAGATTTTCACTTGGAGACACCAGAGTTATTGGATTTTAATTTGCTTTTTCTCCATTTTTTTTTTCTTTTTTGCAAATTCTTTCGGATCAAATCAAATCAAAATGTATTTCTATAGCACATAATAATACAACAAAGCTGACCAAAGTGCTTCACAGTTGGTCAGAGAAATAGCATAAGACAGCATAAAAGAAACAGGTAAAAGGAGGGCAGGAAACAATATGAACAATATGAGTAAAAAACAACAACAACACATAACTAGCCATGAAATAGCATATTAGTTTGAATCAAAAGGTTATTCCAGAGTCTGGGAGCTACGGCAGCAAGGGCCTGACCACCTCTGAACTTCAGACGAGACCTCGGTTGCATCAGGAGCATTTGATTAGAAGATCTAAGTGCCTTATTAGGGATATACAAATGGAGGAGTTTGCATAGATAGCTGGGAGCCAAATTGTTTAAAATTTTAAAGGTAAGCAAGAGAATTTTGAAATTGATGCGATATTCAACAGGAAGCCAATGTAGGTTGGCTAAAACTGGTGTGATGTGGGCATAATTTCTAGTATCAGTTAGGAGATGCGCAGCTGCGTTTTGAACTAACTGGAGGCGGTGGATAGAGGAAGATGGGAGGCCCAAGTAGAGGGAATTACAGTAGTCTAATTTGGATGCAAGTTAAATATCAGGGTGACAGCTCAGATGAACAATTTGGAGACAAAGTTAGAGAAGGAAGGATGTGATGATTTGGACATGTATGGAGGAGAGAGAGTGGATATATTGGACAAAGGATGATGAAGATGGTGTTGCCAGGTAGGAGGAAAAGAAGTTGACCTTGGAGGAGGTTCAAGGATGCAGTGAAGGTTGAATAAAATGGGTCTTTCGTCATTTTTGTGACAAAGGATTTCATGATAAAAGTATTAACATGAAAGTAAATGGTCTTTTTTCTGTCCCAAATTATAGATTCTGATTTATTTTGATGGTAAGAAAGACAAGTGAAATTTTCAGCCTTTTCTTTAAAAGTCTTTGAGATATTCACGTTCAAACGTTGCCTCAGATTTCAGGGCGCGAAAAAACAAATAAGTCTCGGATGTGGGCTTTTACCTGTTTTGTCGCACTGAGAGTGGGATCTCAGATAATACAAAGACATTAAGAGAACAAATACCAGAAAATAATGGCCTTTACCAAGATAACTGGAGCAGAACGGACTGAATTGTTGGCTTCTACAAGCTGTAAAAAAGTCTCCTAATGTCCACTATTGTAAGATACTACATATCGTGTGTGTGAGATTGTGAAACTTGTGGTGTCATTGTGATGTCGTAGCTCTCACCATGCTCTTTCATATGATGTTATACTCAATTATATTGACTTTGGGTGCTTACAATGAAGGTCATATTACAGATTTACTGATATCTGATATTTGAATACTGACTTGCACATTTCCTGTGACCTTGATCTTAACTATGAACTGATTTTCAACCAAATTAAATCAGCTCGAGTTCGTTATTGATATTTACTATCGCACAACATTTGAAAATTATACATGAAAACTGTAGACTGGAAACAAACAGAACCAGTTCTCCTTCACTTTGAGGGGAAAAACTGCAACTCATTAGTTGAATTTTCACAATGAACGATCGAAACTTTAGGATACTGAGTCAGAGCGGTGAAGGAAAAATGTCATTCCTGTATCAAACCCTGTTCATAAAATGCAGTAGAAGAAAGTGTTAGATGTTTTATTGCCGGCCAAATGAAGAAGAGGCACGCTATAGACAAAAGCATTAGACCGCACCTGTAAATCATGCTCAGCAAGACATTTTGGAACTTTCAGCTTTGTGGAAACTGGTTGAAAAAATGATTTCTGCACAAAGAAAGGTCCAAACAGGCATGACTGACAGAGTTAGATGTGGCAGAACTTGACTGGTTTGCACAGAGCCCTGACCTCAACCCCATCAAACACTTTGATCATACCAGAAGGGAGTGTGCAAGTGTGCAATCAGTGTCTGAACTTACAAATGCTCATCTGGATGAATGAACAACATTCCCACAGACACAAAAATCCTGTAGGAAGCCTTCGCAGAAGAGTGGAAGCCTTGAAAGCTCCTGCAGGTATAATCTGCAAGTTTCCCAGTATTTCTGTCTGCCACTCTGATGTCTGTCTAGCAGTTAAAAATCCTCTGAAATAGACTGATTTGACTTTGGATCAACAATTAGTGAGCCGACACCTTTGCAAAAAGCCAAATACCAAACAATTTTGAACAATACTGGTTAATAACAGAGTAGTAAGTGTACCAACCTAATGGTCTGTGGGCTCAGAGTCCTCTCGTGTGTAGCCAGGATTCTTGATCCGCTCAGAGAGGATGTATCCAGTTTAAATGAATCTAATAAGCTGTTACTGAGCCACGGTTCAGTCAGGAGGAAACCCAGCAGCTCTTCATCTTTTTGGTTTTGCCGGTTGTGTTAGCCTTGAGCTTGCACCTCTTCCTCCTGACTCTGTGCAGCTTCCTCCATTCCCCTGCTGCCGGGCTTCACATCTCCAGAGCTCTGCTCACGGCGTCCTTGACAATGCATCCTTGGGAACGCATTCTAGGGAATGTGTCCTTGGGAATGTCCTTTTTCCTCGGAGATCGTAGCCACTCGCCCGCATGACAAACTGCCAGAACAAGCTTGGAGATGTTGGGCTGGGGAATAAAAGAGTGTCATTTATCCAATTCCAATTAAAATAGCTGCGTATTACAGCTTTAACTGAAGAAGAGGGAGTGATTGTGAACAGAGGACAGAGGACAAAATGTTTCATAACCCATTTTATCAACAAAGCATCCATGGATTGGAGAAATGCTGTCCCAGCATGTGGAAAAAATATGAAGTTCAGTGAGCTGAAATGGCTGTGGCGAGCTGATGTTCAACACATTTATTATATCTGATTTTATAAAAGCGTCATAGGCTCAAATTATGTGTGGCTTAAATCACCCAATCTCACTCAGGGAAAGATTTTTTTTCTCTAATCTGACAGCAAAGGAGTGACTAATGGGACTGGACAATATAACCAAAACTGCATTTCTTTAAACAGCGTCTCAAAAGTGAGGCAGTGCCCGCAGAGTCTCATGTCCAGCTATACAGCACATATAAACGTGTTTCTAAACAATATGAATTCTTTAGAGATTTATAAAATTGCACACAGATTATTTTTCTATGACAAGCATCTATAAACTAAATTAAAGGCTTATTGCCACTTTGACTAGTCTGATCCAGGTGGCTGCAGCTTTAGAGCCACACTCCTGGTAACTGGAGCCACAAGCTGACCTTGGACTCTGTGCTGTTTGAGACCTTTATTCTTTTTTTTTTAATGCAATCATCTGGTGAATATTCAGGCTCGCTGTGTGGGTACTTGTATTAACAGCCATATACTGTGTGTAACTGTAATCACATTACATTTTTCATTGAAACAGTAACAATCACATCGCACACATTAGAGTTGCAGTTATGTTACACTTACTTGTGTTACAAAGAATCTTCTGTACTTTTAGTATGTGAGTGTAACTTTCTTGTACAAAGAGCGATGACGGGAATAAAAACAAACTGCAAGCTTTGGGTTTAAAAAATCAATTTCCAGATTCAAAACAATTTTAGTTTGAACAAGGCGATATCAATTCACTAAATCCTGAATCTATTTTTAAATATAAATGCATTTTGCCAGACACGCCAGAGTCTCAGGTTAAAGCTCAAAAAACTATTTCTACAACCAGGTTTCATCACTCTCTGACCAAAATTCACTGAACCAACAGCAAAAAAAGATCAAAACTACACTTCATGTTTGAAAAACATTGTCATGAATTTGTAATCACGTTAGACGGTAAATCTCTCTCCAAAAAGAGTCGCAGTGATTAAATCCATTCTGAATTACAAAGAAACAAATTCAAAGTTTTTGATGTCATTTTGCTGTCTGTTGATACCCAACTATCCTGCGTGAGAAGCGTCGTTATTCATGACACCTGGGAGGAGACTGACAACACATGATAAACTACACGTGCAATCAGTGGACTGGAAACAAAATCCTGACAAATCATTCACTCGGACAGTGTTGTTGCAGGATGGTGGGGAATGACAAACGCCAATGTTCATCATTCAAGCTAGCAAGAGCTGTTATAGCTTCAGGTATCTTTGTGGGCTCCTCAGATTTAACTCTTTAGGTACCACATTCTGTGTCACTCCAAATCCAAAAGTACAAATGTGCCTGCTCATTTGTTAAGCCACCACACTGTGGTGCTTCACTCCTCCCACAGAAGCAGATGGTGAACCACACAGCTACATACTAAATACGAGCTTAGTACAAATGAAATGAAGATATTTCACCCCCTATTTAATATTTTCATTGGGAGTGAGCAGAATAGACAAGATTAGAAATGAGTGCAGCAGAAGGACAGCTCAGGTTTAAAGGCAAAGTTAAAGACTCAAGCTTGAGAATGTTTGCACATGTACAGAGGGGGGAGAGTTGGATGATGACAATAGAGCTGCATGGCATGAGGAGAAGAGGAAGACCTTAGAGAAGATTCATGCTGTGAAGGAGGATATGGGCCGGTATGGCTTGAAGCTGTACCGGCCCATATCGCCAGGTCGTCTGCTACTCTTTCTGGTAAATCCACCTCCCTGTCTGAACTCACATTTGTTTTTCCAATTGTTAAT